GCCCACGTTTTGCATCCTTGGAGCTAATTTAGCCCCACGCTTTGCAGTGGCAGGCTAATCCATATTGAAGAAGTGTGTAGATTAACGAGCCAGGGTGCTGATGAGTCAACACTGCTAATTGCACAAATCATTTCTTTTACAGAAGCTGAATTTACATCCCTCAAAGCGTCGTGGGAGAAGGCGAAGTTTCGCTTGAGGCTGTTGCAGGGTCACAGTGACATAGTCACCTGCGTGGTTGCTGTTGACAACCTGGTGGTTTCTGGGAGGTAAAGCAGGAAAAGAAGACTCGATTTGCATAATGGATATGCAAAGTGAACATTTCACCTAATTTATCACTTAATAGGCTCTTGCTCTCTCCCTCGCTGTCTGACATATATTTGGTTTTCTTCCTCCGCCTGATCACTCGGCGCAAATCTCTTGCGGTTTATGTGGAACGCCTTTTAACTTTGCTTGTTTTCTCCCCCCTCTCTCTTTTTTTCCTCCTGGGCCCTCCCTTTTTCTTCCCCTCCGTCATTCTCACTCTTAAGTCGAGATACGACAGTGAAGGTGTGGCACGTTCCCACTGCAACAGAGCACAAGAACTTAGGAGGTCACACCGGCGGGGTCACCTGTCTGGCAGCACCTCCCCCTGAGTATTGCAAGAGGCTGGGTGAGGAAACACACACGCACACACACACACACATCCTAACATGTGGGCCGAGCAGAGCTGAGTAATGCCTCTGTCCTGCGGTTTGGTAATTATAGGAGCAGTTCATCAGATCAGCCCAGAGAGAGGTAACCACAGTGGACACTTTAGAGAGTTCACTGTCTGTCTGAAGCAGGCAGCCTTCCATCATTTGCACTCCAACACATCTCCGGCTCTCCTCCTACATCCCCTCCCCACCTGCTTCCCTAACTTAAAATACCAAGTCTAGAAGTGCACTGATGACGCAGCTCAGTCGAACCATAGTCTCTCTTACTAATTACATGGTTCCTTTTTAGTCATTTTCAGTCTTTGTTTTGCGGTCTCCTCTTTTTATTTTGTGCATCATCACTTGTTTACAGCTTTTTGCCAGCGTAATCTCTTTTCTCTTTCCGTCTCCCCTCCTCTGTCCCCATTCTGCTCTTTGTTTGGTCTGCGCGTACCCCCTCGACAGCCTGGTCCCTGTCTTTGTCCGACAAAGAGAGGTTTATCTTGAGTGGCTCAGTGGACTGCTATGTGAAGATCTGGGCCCTGAGTATTGGTAGGCTTAACCACACAAACACACACATACACACACACAGCGACATAGAGTGACATATATATATAGGTAGGTGGAGCCTGAGGGTTGTGTGTGGGAAATGTGTGCATCGTAATCAATGTTTGCCTGTGTGACTGATGGCCTGTGCCCTGTCAGTTAAATTAGATTTTTACTGATTCCTTCAGGGCAGTGTGTTAAGTCTATCTACACATTCAACGCTGTGACCGCGCTCTGCTTTGTGCCGGAGGAGGATGGCTACATCATCACTGGATCAGGTGTGTTTTCCTGAGGACAGTAGGTGTTGGTGACATATCTATTTTTGTGCATGTATGTGCCCATTTTTTGTTGTTGTTGTTGTTGTTTATGGGACTAATATGCATGCAGAGTCTGACAATGTGGCATCATCTGCCAGTGAGTTAGGGAGAGCAGCTCAGAGTTATCGAGCTGAATCACAGTGATGGAGGCACACAGTTTAGGCAGCCAGGCTCAGGTGGGTCAACCGTAACCCACAATAATGACTGCCAGTCGCCTGTCAGCGCGTATTAACCTCACACTCTGTCACCCCGCAGACGGGGGGAAAGTTCAAGCCTGGAGCTGGGACACTTTCCAAAACTGCCAGTCAGTCAATGCTCACCAGGAAGCCGTCACCTCCATCCAGGTGGGTGGGTCACTCACCTGCTGACCATCACGCTCTCTTCACACGGAGGATGCTCAAGCTGTTTTCATTTTCAGCCTATTTTTAACTTGAAGAGATTTTTCGTTTCCCTTCTGTGGCTGTCTAACGTAGTTTTTCAAACTCTTGATTAGTAATTTGTGAAAAAGCCTCTTCCCCGGAAATCAAATGGCTATATTTCTTCACATCATCCTCACGCAAGCTTTCCTTGTTTATTGCTTTCAAATGGAAATCAAAGATATTTGTTAAGATGTAAGCTGTGGAGCTCGTCCAATTTTAGAGCATACTGTATATATTTTGAGCGAAAAAAGGCTTTTTTTATGAATATTGAAACCCAGAGCTGGATATGCACATTTTTTTTTCAATTTGCAATCATCATAATATGCCTGAAGCATTAAAGCGTAGCACATCATTGTCATCCTCTGTGTTGTTTATCATGCAAAACGCAAAATCCATTTATAACCAGCAGCAGAAGCACAGAGACATTTTAAAACTGTTCACACACTTCTCTTGCATTTGCACTAACATGCTTACACTCATTCTAAGACACATGTACACACACACAGGGTAAAGACTTAAATCACCATGACAACTGTGTCTCTTGTGCCCTCCGCAGTCTCAGGGTCCACTGGTGTTCAGCGGCTCGGCTGAGGGAGGGTTGTCTGTGTGGGAGAACCGGGGTTCGGATAGAGACCCCCTGAGGCTGCTGCACCACTGGAACAGCCAGGTGACAGGCTGCGGAGGGGAGGCGTGCGGGCGTCTAACCCTCAGCCCGAGGGGAGACAGAGTGTTCCTGGCTTATGGTCGAGCCTGGCTCAAAATCCTGCACTGGAGGACCGGTAGGCTGTGTGTGTGTCAGAGAGAAAGATCCAAAAAGGAAGGCAGATTTAGTGAAATCTGCATAATCCTTCCACCTAACATCTGTCCAATTATCACAGGAACGATGACCAGACTGACCAATCACAGCAGTATCACCGGAGTAACAGATTGTATTCACCAGACGGGAGGCCTCCTAATTGGATCCTGCTACGATCTGGCGAATGGAGAGAGCAGGCTAAATTGTGAGTCCCACATCTCTCGTTTTTTACCATTGCAGGTGCTGTTGCAAAGCCCGCACTGCTTTGGTATCTTCAGAGAACCAGACCATTTTTTGGCACCTTTGAAAACCAATAATTATGCAGTGTTGCTAACAGAAGCTGAGATAATTACCGTGGGAAGGAGATCATTGTGGACAGAGTCTGGGGGCTACATCCCGCAGCAATTCCAGCTTTGAGGCCAGCAGATTGGCGATGGTGTGTTTCTGCCAGCTATTTTTTAGGGGAAGTGAAATATGCGGAACTGGTTCTAGACTGGGGACCAGTGCTTCATTGCTGGAAAACGAGCAAACCGATTTTAATTTACCGAGAATGTAAAAACGCAGTTTTACACACTTTATGTTCCTCCGTTGATCTCCGGTCCTATCATGTCTCTCTCCTCTCTCTAGTGTTCTCTCTGCCTCAGTGTCGGTACCTGGCCTCTCTGACCTGGCCTGACGCTCCCAGAATCATCTGCTTCGCGGCGTGGACCACTGGGAGCGGAGACCACCGATGGGTCACCGGAGGTCAAGACCTCATCGTTTGGGAGCAGCTCCCGAGTTCCGGGAGGCAAAGGTGGGAGCGATACTCGTCAACACCACTGGCTTAAAAAGATTATAGATCCAAGCTGCTCAATTATCTTCCTTATTTGAATATTCATTGTTTGTTCTGAGGTCAGCTGCACTTTTAATTCTAAAGCTATAATTGGATTTAATGTGCTAATGGGTTTAATTGATTTTGACACAAACATTTATCTTGATATCATGCTTTTGGTTCAGGGGGTGTTAAATCTAAGGCAAATATAAGGGGCTAGAACCAGCCTGCCAGAGGGCCCAATCTGGTCCACTGGACGGGTTTGCAAAGAAAAGTCAAGAATGCTTCCAATTTTTTGACGAAATCTCGGTGCAGTGGTACCAGCTTGACTGTACCGGGAGTAAAAATCTGTGAAAAATTGAAAGTATTTCCAGGACACACTGAGTTTGAGGACTCATTAATCAGAACATACTTTGGTTGTTCAGTTGTGATTTACTCCACATATGAAGGTTTGGTGCCTTTGTAGATCAGCTGTGTAAATTATAATGCACATCTAATGAGAGTAGATTGAGTGAACGTGCAAAATTGAGACGTATTTCTACAGCTGCACCTTTTTCCTCAGACATCTCAGGCTGTTTTTCATCTGTTTTCTAAATGCGAGTGTTGCCAGAGCGTGATCTATAGGTTGCTATGCAGTAGTTTTACTGTTTGGTCCACTTCAGATGAAATCGGGCTCTTCTGTGAACTATAACGAGTTCAAAGCGCCTGCTTTATTTAATTGCGGGTGTAAATGTTACAGGGGTGATGTCACGGCAAGGATAGACAGTCTAATGGATTCCTGTTTACTGGAGTCAGAGGGAGACACTGAAGATGATGAGGAGACTGATGGTACACACACACACGCTGCAATTTCACACACATTCACATCTTCATTTGCTGCCTCACACGTTTAATGAGCAACCGTGGAATTGCCGAAATGAATACGGTCGTGTTAATTTTAGGTGATGCTTGTCGTGAAAAATCGTTATGACCCCCTCATCTAATTTAGATTACGAGGATAACGACGAAGGCGGCGATGAAGGAAAAGACAGCCGGTCCGCCGCCGCGGAGGAGGACGCAGGGTCCGGCTCGTGGCTCCGCTGCGCTCTCCAGTGAGCGCCGCTTTCTGGTGCCGACAACACCACGGCCTGCAGCCATGAAGAGGAAATGAGAGGGTGGGAGCGAAGTGACAGCGAGGGAGGGTGCAGGGGTGTGAAGTGTGACAGACCGAGTATCAGTGTTGGAAGGAGAAAGTGAGCGAGTGTGCGTGTGAGCGCGATAAGCAGATTGTTTTCTGTGTAAATATTATTTTCACATACAATAAAGCTGTCACACTGTGACTCTCACCAACAAATTTGCATCTCTTTTTTTCTCTTTTTGAATTTCCGTCTGACCCCGTCTCCTCTGGAAACACCAGTTCTTTAGCCTCCTCTGCCAGCGTAAATAAATGTAAATTAAATTTTATTCCCATCATCCCTTTCTCTCGCGCCTCTTCCTCTTTACTGTCTGTATTTCTGTCTCTTTTTCTCTCTCTCTGGGGTGTCCTTGCTATCTTTGTAAACACAATTGGAGAGGTTTCTTATTTTTTTTTTAACCTCCGCCTCCAAAATGAGCTTATTAATGTCGTCCTCGGTATCATTTCTGTTTGGCTCGTCAAATTCATTTCTTTTTCCTCTGTGTCCGTTTAATTGAACCCATTTTAAAAAAACACATAATTAGCATTTAAATCTCTTTCCTACAGTCTCTTGCCCTCCCCACGTCGCTCTCTCTCCCCTCTCTAACTCCACCAGACTCTGCATGTCTCAGTCGCTAAGGCAACCGATGCTTTTTTTTCCCTCCCTCCCTCACTCTCTCTCTCTCTCCCTGTATCTCCCCCTTTCTCTCTGTCTCCCTCTCTCATTCCCTCTCTCCACAGCCAGAGGTAGGCATGATAACTGATATGTGTCGGAGCGCGTGTGTTCGTGTGTCTCTGAGTGACATTTCTGTGGCATTTATGCAGTAGTTGTTGATAGGAAGTTATCTCTCTCTGCTCAAAGTGACTTATAGAGTGCTCGCTCCATGCATGACGACTCTAATGATGATTAATGTGCCGTGCTCAGGTGTGTGTGCGCTGTGGATGTGTGTGACAGGGCAGAGCAGACGACCGGTGTGTACTTCTGGATGTTTTTTTTTTTTACCATGCAGATGTGTGTGAACATGTGGCGGACAGTTGAGCTTTAGATTGTGATGCCCCGGGGAGTCTGCGTGTGTGCTTCTTTCAAAATGTAACAGAGTTGGCTTTTCGCCAGCACTCTTGCTGCTGTCTGTGTTTACATGGATTTTATGTGGCAAAACACAAGAAGAAGAAAGGAGGTGACAAAAAGCAGGACCCTCCCCCCTTTCTGGCTTTTATTCCTCTCTTGCCCCTCTGTTTTCTCTTACAGAGAGAGATGATCGGAGAAGAGGAGTCTCAGTGAACAGAGTGAAGCGATGGAGAGATGGTAAGATGGATAGTTTCTGAGGTGGAGAGATGTGTGGGACGCAGATGCATAAAATGTCATTCTGAGTGATGGCCGGCTTGAGAATCAATGTCTAAGCTGTTGAGGTCGTGCAGGGCGGCCGCGGACAATGCATTTCCTCAGATAACTGTCCTGTCACTCCACCCTCTCTCATCCTTTCTCCTTCACCTTTCCTTCCAGCTCCATCTCTCCTGTCGCACGACTGACTGGCCTCATCTCTCTCCTCCTGGTTGCTTTGGTGACACAGCCCTCCACCTGTAACCGTGACGACAGAGAGGCAGAGGAGCAGGTGGACGCCCTGTCGGTCCAGCTGTCCGTCACCGCCCAAGTCACGCCCACCCCTCTGTGGGCGGTGGTCTGGGGTCCCACGCAGCAGCTGGAGGACGAGACCTACCACTTCCTCTCCAGCCAGGAAACCGATCACCTGTACCTGCACGGGAACCAGCAAGAGGCCAGCACCGCCACGCCTGAGAACTGGCTTTACCCCGACGAAAGCATGCAGCCACCACTGGAGCCCAAGAAGGGAGTGGAGGATGGTGGGACTGAGGCAGAGGAGACAGAGCCTGAGGAAGGTGGGCATCAAGAGATGAAGGATTTCTAAATAAAGGTGTCCATGAGTTGCAGTGAGCGAACACACTCACATGCCAGGAGTCCTCTAGGGAATTAGCTGTCATCGGGGTGAAGGCTGACACCCAGCTGTGTGCACCCGGCTGTGTCTGCGGCGGGGATTGCCTAATAAAGTTCTCATCACTCACAGGGAAGAATTAGCCGCTGTCATAACTGCAAAACACAGAGGAGACGTCATCGGATGGGTGTGATAGTTGGAGGCTAGAGTCTTGCACGTCCAATTTGATGTTTCAGCTGGCTACACTGTTTTCTTCTTTTGGTCTGGATACAGTTAAACAATCTGAGATGAATAACTTCGTGAGTGTCTGTGTAAATGTGTGTGTTACAGTGGACCCACAGTTCTACGTCACCGTGACCATCTCCTCGCTGCTCATCCTGACAGCAGTCATCATTACAGCCAAACTCTGGTAGGAACCAAAATTCTCTCCTCCACCGTGTCATGTGTGTGTTTGTGTCCATGACCACATAAATATGAGGTGGGCATTGCTGAGTAAGGATGAGGCGACTTTCCTTGTGTAAGCCTGACACGCAGCAGGGTGGTGTTACTGGATTCTTCTGATTAAAATACCTCAGGGCCTTTTTTTTTAATATAATGGTAAGAAATAGAAACTGGGTATTTTCCAAAAACTGAAATTGCACACTTCAGTGGAAGCATATGAATGTAGCAGCATCTTGGACACTTTAATGTTGAGAGAGGTGTATGAGCTGCTAATTATCATCTTGTTTTTGTTCTTTATTTTAAAATCATGGTTCTTTCCATTAAAGCAGGGATGTGTTGAGGCCAGCTGAATGTTTGATTAGAACAGTCCCAACATGGGGATTTGTAACCCCACCAAGGAGTTGAAAGAAAAACCTGAGGCGTAATGAGATGATTAAAAACAAAATATTCTGCTACAGAAAAAAAAATTGTTTTCTGTCTTAAGACTTTTATCTCATTAATTACTAGATAATTGCACTTCATTAATATTTTAATAATTGTAAGTGGACTAATCTCGATTTGATGACCTGGTTGTTATCCAAAGACAGTGAGGAGAGGGTGCAGAAAGGCAAAATCGCAATCTTGGCTTAATCTTCACTGTATTATACCTGACTCCAAAACTTGTCAGGACAGGTCATAAGTGTTAACAGAGTAAAGCATATGTAAAAGAAAACGAGGTCATAAACTGTGATGTCACCGGTGGGTTAACAAAGTCTTCACTTGTGCTGAGTCCTTGAGATGAGTGTTTTTGGATGTCGCTCTCTTGTTTTTTTTAACCAGTAAGCAAGTATGCATGCTAATAGGTAACACCGTGTTAATCACATGCTAGCCACGGGCTAAATCACAGCCTGCTTTATTGATTATTTCAGTCAGATTGGGAGCATGATTTGCTAAGGAAAATTCATAATCTTCTCTTAAATTAATAAGACCAAAAACAAACTCGTTAGGATAGACTTTACATAGGAAGTGGACATACCTATGAAGCCACGATGTCACCCATTGCTTGGTGGAAGCTTCGAATTTAGCATTTTGGCTGCTGACCATGTTGGTTTGTGGAGCCTGTATTTGCTGTATTTGGGCAAGTGGACGGAGTAATTGGCCAAGGCTAACGAGCTCGGGTTAGCAAGCTGAGCAAGTAGCATCCATAAACTGTATGTGAGCAACACAAAGACACAGACATCTGCTAATTAGTCTTAATTAACAGACTGATTAAAATACTGCTGTGAATTTCACTCATTAAAACTGAAGCACAGACTTGCACTGTCGCTGTAAGTTCCTGACGGTGCTCCACCAGAAACTTCCTTGTGATTACTTTGCCTGCTAGCATGTTACCACAGTCACCCACAGTTGACATGAATAACGCCGGCTTGTCTGCGGTCTCTGCATTTACTCTCTGAGCAGTAATTGCGAAAAAATGTGATGGAGTTCACAAACAGAAAATATTCGCCTTCATTGTAAAAGTTGTGCCTTACTGCTCCACCCAACACATTTTAAACAAACAACTTCAATAAAGGCAGAATATCATTATTTCCGGTTTGCATCATTTACAGGCAACCTGCTGTTTTCCATGCAAACTGAAGGTACCACAGTAACCTGGTAACAACCAAAGCAACTGCAAAAAGCTTTTGGTGTAGCACTGTGTATCTCCATTTCAACCAGTTTTATGCTAGCGACTGCTAGCAACCTCCAGCTACTGCATAATACACATTTTTTCTTTCAGGGCCCGTGATAACACACTGGTATCTAGGCTTGTGTGACTCACGCTTAAATGCACGCTTACTGACTGAAGCTACCTGTGTTGCCACACCTTTTTAAGCCTTAAAAACATCAAAACTGTTGACTTATAAAAACATGTAATTGCTGTACAGTTGTTATAAAGGTTAAATAATCCATAGATGCCAAAACTGCATTTAATACTAGGCTGCAAATATGCCTTTTAATGGTGTAATGTTGGCCATTTAAACATAGAAGTCAGTGGGGACTGACTCACTTTTGTAGCCAACCTCAAGTGGCCACTAGAGGAACTGCAGTTTATGGACTGGTTCCATTTTTCAGCTCTGAGGTGAGCATCATTACCACTTTATCTTAGACTCCTGTACAGCCAAGCTTCCTCTTGGACCCAGATGAGTCTCCCCCTGCTGGAAATAAATTAAAAATGCAGGTTTATGGCACCACCTATGGAACTTGTTTCCATCACTGAGTTTTTTCCCCTTTTCTTTCTTTCTCTTTTTTTGCCAGGCAAAAAGAGTTCATTTTGACTTAACTTTGGATTTTTAACTCAAACTTTTGAGTAAGTCAAAATTTTGACATATGGGTGTTTTTCATTGGCATAAACAAGCTTTAATAACCACCTAATTGTCTTTAATTTTTAGACCTATAAGTTAAATCCATCATAGAAAACCCAGATGCCTCATGTGTTATAGACAGTTTAGGAGAGTGCTGAATTTGCTTTTTTATGTAGTAGTATTTAGACTTTTGCTGTTGTTTTTTTAAATAAAGCGAGTAAGCAAGAGACACCATTTCCCCCACACATGTGTGTAATGGGACAGATGCATGGGGTTTAGAGGAGACTTTAATGACTGCAGATGTGTTTGCCCGCACACGCTGGCCTGCCCGTCTTGTCTGTGCGCCTGTCGCCGGGCCTAAATGAGAGCTGAGTAATTGCTCACTAATGACTTTATTAACAGCACTTGTGTTCCCAAAAGTCACGATTGGCACAGATGTATCATTTAGAGCCATTAAAGTTGCAGTGATTAAGCATTAACTATAACCAGTGATCTCTTGTCTTATAGTTTTGGGTGTTCACGTGGCGTCCCCGAGCGTATAGACGCAGAGTGGGTGGTGTGTGTGTGCATGTGTTATGTTTTCAGGCCGGGGAGGCAGGTAGGAGGTGATCCGTACACACATGGCTATTATCTCTCCGCGATGTAGTGAAGCACTTCTTTGCCTTGCTGATCAAACCAATAACGGCTCATTTATTTGACCGCTGGGACCCCCCCCTTCTCGCACTCCTCCTCCTCTTCCTTACTGTAATCTCATCTGCACATCTTACCTGAATTTCTGTTGTATCACTTTTTTTTCATTGCCTGCATTGGTATGATTTGTTCTCCCTCATATCCCCTTTTCACGCTCTCTCTTAATCTCAATTTTGCTCCCACACTCGTACATTATCTACCCCTCATTCCCCATCTACCCCTCCCCTCCTCGTTTCTCCTTCCCCTTCGGCTCCCACTGGATTTTTTTTCTCTTCCTTTCGTTGAATACCTGTCCCCCCCCCCACACACACACACTCTTCTTTTAGGTTCCTCGCTTTGTTCCAGTTATCGTCAGTGCCTTGCTCTAAAGCTGCCTGTCTCTGCACAGCCGGTGCTTCTCTTATCTCCCCCACCAGTCTCCTATCTCTCCCAGCACCGCCAGTCCGGCTGCAGATCCACAGATAATCCTCCAGCTTGCCGTGAGCTGATACATGATAAGCCCCCCTTTCTCTCTGTTCCTGAGACTGGCCTTCGCTCTTGTTTCGATAACTTACTTCACCTGGCGCTGGCAAAAAAACAAAAAACAAAAAAACCCTACACTGCTTAGTGAATCCCAAGTGGTATTAGAATAGCGAGAACTGCAGGGATTCAGTCTGGAGACATGGCAGCAGCTCCTCTCTATAGACTGGCTCGTACTTCAGTGTCATAAATGTGTAAATAACACCATGTGTTAGAGGGAGAAAGTGCCGCGGAAGGAACGGGAAGGGGGTACAGATGGACCGAAATGATAGCCTATAGTGGAAATTGGCCACAGTCCAGTTCATTATGATTATAGAAGAGCGGCATATGTGCTCAGTGATTTTCCCAGCCCTAGAATCGTCAGTGTGGCTAATGTCATCAAGTGTGTGACGGTGTGTGTTTGTGTGTGCGCGTACAGTGAGAGAAGGAGTCAGCCAGGAAAGAACAGGTGTTACTGAGGGACGATGAGGGTGCACGAGGGCCTTTATGGCGGTGAGAACAGCTTTGTTGTGCGTCTAAGTGTTCCAAAGAGCCCGAACCTGCGGCTCTCAACTGCGTCTTCACCAGAACTCCCCTCTCCTTACAGGAGTAATGGCACGACACCTCAGTCACGCACCACTGCTCCGTCCGTTTCTTCGCCTTGTTGCACCCTTCCCACCTCCAACCTTCTGACTCCCTCCCTCTCTCCCACATCTCACAGTGAAGTCTCCTTCCCCATTTCTCGCTCTGCCTCCCTCCCTCCCTCCCTCCCCTCTCCGACAGTGTTTTAATGAGTCCGATGAGTGCACTAATTCTCTCTCACAGTGGCAGGATAATGTGTTCGCTGATGCTAAATGGATCGGCTGTTCCTGATGTTCTCTGACTTTGTTTCTCCCTCTGTGTCTTTCATTCTGATCGCTCTCCTTATCGTTCCTCTCAGCGCCTCTCTTCATTTCAATCTCTCTGTCGTTTCCTCGTACCCGTCTCGCCCTCTCTAACCGTCTCTTACTGTAATATCTGTCTCAAACTCAAACTAACTTTATTGCATCTGTTTATGCCCCGTTTCTCTTCTCGTTTGTCTCATCTCTCTTCATCCTCGCACTTGTGTCCCACTCCATGCCGACTGCTTGCCTCTTTAACTCTTCATCCCTTGCAAATCTTGTCCCCCTACTCCCCTCCTCCTCCTCCACCACCACCACCACCACCACCACTTTCTTCCTCCATCTATCTATCTGACTATCCTTTCTCTCCCAGTTACGATCGCAGCTGTTCCCAGCATCCGCCCCCGCTTTCCCGTGGCGTAGCACCCCCCCTCTCCCTCGCTCTCCCTCGCTCCCTTGCTTCGGAGGACAGCCGGCAGACGCTGCACAGCACCTCCTCCTCTTTCACCGACAGGGAGAGGTAATGAGTCGCCTCACCAGCTCTACACGGCCCGAGTGTGTGCGCGTGCGTGCGTGTTTGTGTCAGTCTCTAAGCCGTATGTGCGTGTGCGAGTCTCCGTGCAACCCCTGGATTGAAGTTTTCTTCCGTGTCTGTGTGTGAAGCACCCGTATTACCTTTTCGCATGCACTGTAAGGACGTACCTGGAGTGTAATTGGACGGTGGAGCTATTCTCTGTGGAGTATTCAGGCCTGAAGTGTTGGCGCTGCTCTAAGATGTATCAGTGTTTTAAACTCCCTCACCGGATGAGTCATCCTGGGCCTATCAAAACAGGCGCCCAACCACCCTCCATGAAATGATGCTTATATTCGAGAGTATTTAAAGTTAATCTCAATCAGGATAATTATAGAGCTACACTCCAGTGCTCCCCCTCTCACTTCCTCCCCTCCCATCAGCTTCACCTCCACCTTCCTCTCCTCCTTCCTCGCTGCTCTTCCGTTTCTTCCTCCCCCCCGCCACCCTCTCCGTCCCCCTGCGACGCAGCGTTCCTTTTGCATGTACACAACTTTTCCAGCTTCAGGCTTTTGTGCTCCACTTCTCCTCTCTTCTTCTGCCTTTTCCTCCCCAGCTTCTTCCTTTCTTTCTATCCCTCTCACTCTTCTCCTCTGTGTCTCTTGCTGTGTCAGGATCCCTGTTGTGAACCTCTGAGGTGACTGTTTTTCCATATGGTAAACATTTCTACGGGGCCCGAGGAGGAGCATCAACAAGACCGGAGGGTGCGCCCGCAGCACCGTTTTTATTTTCTCTAAACTGTGAAATGAATTCAGGGATCCCAGGTATCCAGCCATCACAAAACACTCCTGCTTCCCTGAGGTCTAAAAAAAACAAAAAAGGAACATCTGAACTCATCTCCCTCCTTTCCTCCGTCCGTCCTTCCTTCCTTCTGGCTTGGTGTAAATTTCTGTTAATGTGGATCTTCGTCACTGTGACATGTTCTCTGTTTTCCAGCCTTTATTTGGCCCCGAGCTCTGCTAAGCTTCGACCCGCCACGACTAATTCACAAACAAGCAGTTTAAACAACCATAAAGCATCCCATTATCCCCGAAATGCCCTACCTGTGCTTCCACAACCGTTCCCACCAATCCAGCCCCACATGTGAAGCTGTTTAGTATTAATGGCAATCCCGGCAGAGTCTTCTTTTTACATAACATGACACTCAAATTTGGCTCAGATTAACAGGCTTGTAGATGGTTGAAAAGCCATTCTGAGCACCTCCACACACTGAACGGGGCATTTCACAAAGCTGTTTGGCACGGCTGTAGCCAGCAGCCAATGTGTTTAACATGTCACGCTCCAAAAACTGCTGTTTATTCCTCGCTTTGGGAGCCCAAAATGCAAATAGTGTGGCTGTATCCCTCTGCACTATGCAGAGGAGCCTGTTTTTGTTTCACTTTTTCCTCATGATTTGTTCTCTTAATTATCTGGCCGACGTTCACCTTTTCTCGGCGAACCCTTTTTCTGCCGGACGCTGCAGAGGTACTTCAAATATTCAGGACGTGAATGGAAGCGAGGAACCGTTCCTGCTGAAAATCGATGTTTCCCAAAGGTTTGGATGGTACACTACAAAGACAGATTGATGTATCAGTGAACTGCACATGTGATCAAAGGACTGATGTTACCACAACAAGATGTTTTTCTTCTTTTTCCCCCCCTCTTCTTTTCACCCGACAGCCAAGTATCTCAATCTGGAAAACAAAACCACCATCGTTCCCTCTCACATCATTATCATCATCATTTTTTTTAGCTGTCTTGGGTGCACCAAGGGAAAGTAGAACATCAAGGAGCATCGTTTCTGTATCTCCTGTGAATCTGCATGTATACAGTAAGACAACCTGTGAGAGTTGCTTTGAATCTATTATTTATAAAATGTCTATTTTACCTATCAGTGAGTGATGTCTTTTAGACCCTTTCAAAGCCAAATGTCACTTTGTGTCTGGCAACTTTTCTAAGCAGCTTTGAGGCATGACCCCCTCCTTCCCTCCCTCTACCAGTTACACACAAACACACACAGATTCCCACTACACACATAGTGCTGGTGGCATCATGCGTAGCTCGTGCAATCCTCCAGATATCCAGTCTTGTGATTTTTAGTAGCATTCCTGTAGAAATGTGGTCTTTCTGTACCATGGAAGTTCAATAAAGACTCAATACTGGCGTTTTAGCTCTGCCTATCTGTTTATTTCTGTGCATGTTGAATAAATTCCCCCTGGAGCGGTGCGATCGGCAATGCTTTACGGGAAGGATAAAGCTTACACCGTGCATTTTAATAGCTACCCCTGTATCCTAATCTTTTTCTCCCTGAAGTGAACATTTAGTCCACTGCCTTGCATTGATTTGAAACCACAAGCTTGGCATTGAAAAGTCTTGAATATGCCAGCCACGGTTGGCTGTTTTTACACCATTGAGGAGCAGATGAAAGGAGGTGAAGAATAAGGCGCTTGCTTTTGTCTGAAACTTCTTCCTTATCTCCTCACCTCATACGGATTTCTCGCGCTTTACAAAGATTAACGGGGTGCTAAGCAAGAATTTCCTGTGTAGTTTCTCAAACAAATGTCAATAAAATCAAGGCGGGCACGAGAAGAGAAATGCCACTGGAGTGTATTGAGATTCTGCGGCAGCATTGCCGCACAGCGTTTCCATCTCCTCTGGGCATTTTACTGATCAATCAAATTAATTGATTGGCTCGGTTCCACGTGGAAGTTTTAATGGTGGTCTAGTTATGAGACGTACCGGCAGGCGTTGCGGCAATTTAGGAACCATGATGGGTAAACAACAAACATTAATGCATAAGTTAAAAAAATAACAGGTGTGAACTCATGCATGCGGTCTCTTGGTCACATGATCACACCTATAATAAAGCACGCAGCTGACACCATCGACTCATCTTTCACTCGCAAACACCTCCAAAGGTGTGCAGCTGTTAGATTTCACAGATCCAATCTAGTAAAAAAATTGAACCGATGAAACTGAATCACACTGACTGAAATTAACACCACTATTTATAAAGGTGAGGAGAAAAGTGGCAGGAAGGAGGGAACGGAGAAAAACGGGAGGTTAAATGAAAAGGGCCTCACAATTTCCGCCTGCTGCCCTTTCTCCATTGCTGATGGTCAGCTAATTGCAACCATTACTGTCACACGGGACGACGAGCGGAGAATTTAGAGGAAACAGAATCAAAAGAGTGAGAGAAGGACAGAGCGTTGAAGATGAAGGCAATTTTGACTGCGTGATGGAGGTACAAGAAAGGGTGGCAGGCAATTTCAACAGGCAATTTTGACATTGAAATAGAAGCTCTGGGCAAAACATTCTCATATGAAATATGGATGCTCTTAGAGTTTCTGTGTGTGTGTGTCTGTGTATGTGTAGCCATGCTGGTAGTGCACAGGGGAAGCCTCAGCTCTATAATACATTAGTCTCTTTGGGGACATGCCCTAATTAATGGCTTGACCTCCTAACGGGTAGCCCCCTTCTGCGAGTTAACATTTAGCAGCGCACCCTCCGGAGTTAGACTCCGAAGTGCATTTAATAAAAGAAGTGACAGTGACATTAATGAGACAGTCGAGACAAGTACAGGGCTTCGTTTTATTTTCCAACAATTTATATTCAGATTTTTTTTCCTTTTTTTACACGTCTCACCTCAGAAGCGAGCGAGAGAGACAAATAATACAAAGCAACATAGAATTAAACTAAACCAAGAGAACAATTTAGACCAAAAAAATGCAAACACACACACACACACGCACGCACGCACACATACACAAACAAACAGGCGTCAAATACACTAATCCTGTTTCTGGTCAAAGGCAACTGACTCCTGCTGCAGACTGCTCTGTCTCCGTGTATTTACACCAACAGTCCGCCCGTTAACGACTGCAGGAGAGGATGTCACGCCTGCTTTATCCATCAGCTCCGTGTGTGTTTCTCAATCCGTCAGGGTGAGATTTGGTTAGAAGAAAAAGTTCCCGTGAAGCTCCCTGGTTGTTCTGTGGTAAATGAACTGTGATCACATTTTATTTATTTATTTAAATGTTCATTTTTGTCAACACCGTGTGTGCCCGTTGATTAGTGAGTGTCCATCAGTGCCGCTGTCCCTTCGTCCTCAGTTGGACTTGGACCAGATCTTGCCGCTGCCTCGCAGCCTGGACAGAAAACAAATACAAAACTCAGCTGGTGTTTTTTTTTTTTAAATTTAAATAATTTGATGACTTACATGTTTACTTTCTGCTTGCTCTACTGAAGCAACAAATTACTGATGCAACCTGGGTGCAAAAGTGTCTTTATGCTAAAATTCCCAACACCAGTATTTACAGTTTTGTTTTTTTCGCAGTAGCACTGATCACAGTTGATTTTCTTCTTCTGCATATTTCGGCAAAGAGCAGATTTCTAATAATAACAGCTGCAGTATCAGTCCCATCCTTTAAATAGCTTCATAAAGAAATGGTGTCAAAACTCGTTTTCATTTGAGGATTGAGGTTAAGCTATCATTAATTTGGATTTTAAAACACTGAGTGGATCTTCATTTGAATGATGTATGGTGCTGAGTGATGGAAATTACAGGGCTCTATGCTTCGTCAAAATGTGACAGGCAGCCAGAAAATAATCACTGCTCTCTGTTTGACAAGAACAACATAAACAGCAGCCAAGCAAAGCATCTCGGCCGGCCACTGGAGGGGGGAAATGGTTCTTTCAGGAAGGAAACACGCGGGGCGTTTGTATATCCACTGACATTTTACAATCCAGGACAGATGTGAAATTAGCCACTGGTAATTAGGGCGGACGGAAGCAGAACAGAAAGAGAGTTCCTGATAGCGGGGTTATGGTACCGCTGCAAAACACTAATGTGCATCTGATAATAAAGCTACTTCATGCAGACACACGCTCAGGCACAGACAAGCCACTTACATCAGCAGCTGGCTTTTTACTGTTTATTAGAAAAATGGAAACACGGTGGTTCTCGGCTGAATTAACTTTTGCTCTCTACAAGAAACCCGGACTAATGGCTTTAATTTAGTGTTTGAAGTAGTCTTTATAGTTTCATGCTTATAAGTAGGGATATACGTATTTATGAAGCACCTTTCAAAAATCACAGTTACAAAGTGCTTCAAAGAACAAAAGGAGGTGCAGCGATAAAACAAACCTAATGGAAAAAACCTCCATATGAAGCTTTTTGTTCCAATTTTGTGACTTGTAAAAATGAATTTCTTATTTGGATGGGGGGGTGGGGGGAAGAACCTCAACAACAGAAACTTCATTTAAAAGCGTACCAACCAATTTGAATAAAATGCGTTCAATCTGTAAAATATTTAGCCATGAAAACAATAAATGCAATTTCTATGCAAACTCCTGGTGGGTGCTTTTGTATAACAAAATAAATAAATACGAAAGCAGCTCACTCAAAATACTCTGCTGCCCGCTATGTGCAGCCACTAAAAACACAGCGGGACGCCACTCACCCTTTCACCTTTGAGCTCTTTTTGCCTGGTTGTCTCGGTTCCTGAGAGGAAGCGGGGTCTCGTGGCTCGGCGGGTTGGTCTGCGTCCTGATTGGAGGCGGCTCCAGCTGGAGCGGGGCCTGACGACGGAGACGCGGCGCTAGCCTTTAACGTCTTCTGTAGATTTGAGACCTGGTGGAGAAGTGAAGAGAGAGGGTAAAAACTGAAAATTAAAGGGACGAGCGTGGGTGTCCTCTTGTGTTAGTGACACCAGGAGGCCGTGTCAAAAATATTTAGAACAACTGGTAACGTAAAACTCTTGTGTCTGGGCTGCTGTTGGTCCTTCAGCCTGCTGTGGAGAAGACAGCAGTCATAACAGACAAAGAACTTCTTTGTAGTGAAGTGAAACTGAGTTAAAAATGATTAAGACGGTCCACTGCGACTGCTGTCTGTGTGTCTCGTGCTGATTGTTTGGTCTTTGATATTTTTCCCATCTTCTTTCCCATTGCGCTGAACTCTGCTGTCACTCCCTTTCCTGTTCAAGCCAAACTTTCAACCAATCAGCATTCTACCTACATACAGCGTCACTGCTACATGTCTTTGCCGGCTGCATACCCAGAATGAAGAGAAGGATCTACACAAGTGGACAAACACACGTCAGGGAGCAGATCTTGGTTTTCTTGTGCATGTAAAAAGTTACAAAAACCAAACTCCACTCTAATTATCCTTTTATGGTCGCGTGCTGAATTTTGTAGGCTGGTGAACTGGCCGTGTTGGACACCAGAGTGTATGAACGTTTCTTTCTTTAGCGCCATTTCAATGATATAACAATACAGGAGCTCCGATATGGTCTGATTACAGAGTAGGAGATGCTGCAACAGCTTGAAAGCTTGCTTCCTACTTTAACTTCTTCTATTCCCACACCAGCACTGATGTTGAGAACATGCAAGTGACGACTGCCGTGATTCAGGTGCACCTGAACCAAGAAGTGTCAACAATCACAGGACTGTGGTGACATCACTGTTGACGCACAAAAAACAAATGCTTAATAACAGGGTTTTCTTCCTCAGAAAACGTGTCGCTGAAAAGTGTCTTTTGTAGTTGAGGATTTTTTTCTTCCTGTTACTTATCTACATCACTGTAGATAAGAATGAATAACTGCCTCAGTCCCACATTACTCTAAAGGGCCATATACAAATGGATGTGATGGTGAGAGGACCAGGAGGTATCCCACCCCTCTCCTACGACAACCTATGACAGGCTCCGGTTCCCCCGACTCTTCAAGTGGGACAGGTGGAGAGAACCAAATTCAGAGACTTGTAGAGATGACTGCCGAAATGACCGCGACACAAGATGCTCATTTATCCTGAACCAGAACCTGTAACATCCACTAGCAACCAGCTGTAAACAATGGGATTCAGAGCGATTCAGCTGATAAATGAATCACTTTAAATTCGGGGAGAGGTTATCTGTGTCTTCTAAGGTAATGAAGAGCCCGTGGATGACTTCTGGAGGGAACAACCTGCATTTAGAAGCTTTAAAGTAGATTTTGTATCAAAGGAAACTTATAAAAGCTTTTATGTTCCACTGATTGTAATAAGTTACCTTTAAATATCCACTCCTTGCCATTTTTTCACTTCTTCAAACATGCTTTGCTTTGTCGCCTCAAACCAGATTACTTATGCTTTCAGTAATTCAATCAGTGTTCTTCATTTCTTCTTTTAGTGAGT